ATGTGAATCCAATCAAAAAAGATGTGATCCATTAATGAGTGATTCACATGAGAAACAAGAGAGGAGAAAAGGCACAAGGCCTGGAAGAAGAAGAAGAGAACAACAAAACCTAGCCTCCCCCTTTGCGCCAGTCGGTCCATATATGTTTCGTACAGATCCCCTGTCGTCCCGCATCCGTACTAGTTATGAGCCAAGAATAGCTCATAACATTACCCCCCACTTTGAAAAGCTCTATCCTCAGAGCTGGCTGGTAACACAGGATCCCACTAAAACAGGTGCACCAGACGATCGAACTCCTGTTGAGAAAGCCAGGTATCTGCATCCCCCCCAGTGTTCATCCAGCAAACCAGATAACGCTTAATCATCCATCAACGCAGCTGGCGAGTCTCCACATCAATCACCTTATTTGGCACAACCAGATGCTAGTCCCCCAACGATCGGACTGGAACTTCCACTGTCGGCAAGGGAGTAGGACCATAATGCAACTTGAGCTCGGAAACGTGGAACACATCATGGAGCTTGCACCCTTGCGGAAGAGCCAGCCGAAATGCCACCTCATTGATCCTTTCAACCACCTGAAAAGGACCGAAGTAGCGTTGAGTCAGCTTGGATCGAGAGCCCACTCGGCGGCCTAGAGTGTGAAGAACTTGATGTACACCAGGTCGCCAATAACGAATGTTCGAAAACTCCGATGCTTGTCAACTTGAAGCTTCATGGTTGCACAAGCTGCCTCCAACCTGCTATGAACTTGTTGATGCAACTCTCGAATGGTCTCCAGATGTCCAGAAACTGTCACCTCTGGGACCGGAAGTGCGGGAGCTGGCCAATGTAGGATTCGACGCCCATAGAGAATCTCCAAAGGAGCAAACCTTGTAGCAGAATGACAGGCCGAATTATATGCGAATTCCGCATATGGGAGCCAGTGCAGCCATGATGTAGGATGATCCAGTGTGTATCCCCTGAGAAATACCTCTATTGTCTGGTTGGTTTGTTCTGCTTGCCCATCCGATTGGGGGTGATATGCTGAACTGAAGCTGAGCTTGGTCCCAAGAGCTGAAAAAAGGTGACGCCAGAATGAGCTGAGGAACTTCGGATCCCGGTCAGAAACAATCTCCCGAGGCAGGCCATGGAGACAAATCACTTCTCGAGAAAATAACTCGGCTATCCTTGCTGCAGACACCGAAATTGTTGTAGGTAGAAACTGAGCTGTCTTGCTGAAACGGTCAACCACCACCATTATCATGTCTTTTCTCTGGCAACGAGGTAGACCCCCCACAAAGTCCATTGAAATGCTAGTAAAGGGACCATCTGCAACTGGTAATGGCTAGAGAAGACCTGGAGAAGCCACTGTCTCTGTCTTTACCACCTGACATACTGGACATTCTCGAATCCACGCCTTCACTTCTCGCTGCATGCCTTTCCAAACAAAGCGAAGCTTGATTGCTGCCAATGTTGCTGCCACCCCTGGATGTCCAGCGAGAATTCCCTGATGACACTCATGGAAAATTTCTTGCTGCAATGGATGCTTGTTGTTGAGAAACACCCGTCCCTTTGACCAGAGAATGCCATCAATGAGGACCAGCTTGGGATGCTGCTCCCCATTCTGAAGCTGTTCTAGAATCTGTTGAAGGGCCACATCTTGCGCGTACCCCTCCCGAATTTGCTCTATGTACTCTGGTTGAAGGCAAGAAATCCCATAGAGAGCTGATTCCTCGGTGCATGCAAACTTCTGTGAGAGAGCATCTGGAAGCACATTGGAAGCACCTAGTCGATACTCGATAGTGAAGTCGAAGGCTTGAAGTTCTTCCACCCAACGCATCTGCTTCTTGTTGAGGTGGGGTTGAGTGAGCAAAAAGCTTCAGCTGTGATAAACTCCGCCAACCGCCGATTCACAAATGTGTGTGAAGCGCCAGAGTCAACCAGTCCGAATGCCACTCTGCCATTAATTGTTCCTTGCACCCGGAAACACTGCGGACCAGTCTTTCCAAAATATGCTGAGCAGGAGATAAATGCCTTGCCACCTGAACTGTCAGGGTCCTCCAAGCCCGGGCTGTTGTTCCCTGATTCCCAAACAAAGATCTCCTCACTCTCATCAACCATGTCCATGTCGACTGGAACAAATTCCCCAGAAGCAGCCTTGCGAAAATGTAGCATCGCCACCTTTGCCTTGGGAACTGTAGCACCCTTCTGAGATGGACAAAACAAATGGTGGCCTCGTGTCCATTTCTGCCCACAATCAAAGCATTTGCCTAGCTTCAAATCCTTTGAGCGTTTGGCCCGTTCCTGAGTGGATAAATCTCGCCAAGGCTTGCGTTCCTTATCACTGTTCACTGTCGGCAACACTGTCGGCATAGGGGTCGGTGATGCAGCTGGGAAATCCTGACAATGAAGCCTGCTTATATAAGGACGACGCAATTGAGACTCCCATTCACGAAACCGCTGGTCTGCATTCAATGCTGCCACCATTGCCTAACGCACAGAAACTGGTTTGGTTTGAGCGACATCACCTGCCATTGATGAAGGCAGCGCTGCTACGTAACGCTGGGCCAAAATCTCGTCTGAAACTCCCACTACCTCATATCTGGCCCATAACTATGCTGTATTGAATGCCTGGAGAGTTTGATGTTGCCAGTCATAGCGAAGGTCGCACAACTTGTTGAAGGGCAGCTCCAAAACTGGGGTCAAGATGAAAGTGTCTGTGATCAAGACTTTGAACTATTCCCAGTCTGGGAATATGCGAGCTCGTTCCAAGTTATGAAACCACTCAGATGCCAGATCCTTCAAGAAGATTGATGCAAAAGGGAACCTTATCCACCCCCTTGGTATCTCGCCACACAAAACACCACTCCAGCTTGTGGAGCCAATCTTGAAGTCTTAGTTGATCATTTGAGCCATCGTACTCCAGTATATTGAGCTTCTCCCGATCCTGCCACCGTGATCCCATCCCTGGACCCCTCCCGAGTATCCCCTTGGTCCCTCCTTCCGGAACTGGTGACTTCATCTTCTCCAGCAAGTCATCATACCAAGGTCGATCACCTGTTGGGGGTAATTCAGGGCTCGAATCTTGGAACCAATCTTCGTCAGAAAACCGGTGCACGATATCTTTCAAATTAGGGTCTCCTCGATCCTTGACCCTAGACCCCATTTGTTCTTGCTTCTCTGCCAAAACCCACTGCTGCTCTCCCAACTCCTCTATCTTGCCACCCATAGTAGCCTGATTGTGCTCGATGATGGCCAAGGTACGCTGCAATTGTTGGAACCTCTCTAAGTCCTACTGATGATTCGTCACATAGCACTGCATGAAAGACTGCAACACCTCCCTCAACTCACCAACCAGCTCAGGCACTACCTGTGGAGAATTCACTAGATCGACCACCTCAACATTGCTGGATTCTCCATCGGCTGAAGGGGAAGATTTCACCTCTTTTCTTCCCTTGTTCCATGGTGGCATTGCTTCTTTCCGGTGCCTCACTCTTGCCCAAGCCCAGATCACCCACGACAGCCTAGGGTAAATGATCGCCGCCGCAATCACCTCCCGTCGGATACCCTGCTGAGACAGCTGTACCCTAGATTGGGCGAATGCCGTGGTGCTAAGGATGTGGACCAATCCTCTCTCCCACGATGCAATATCCCAAATGATCTTTGCCAAGGTCCTGATCAATGCTCCAATACCAAATGTTAGGATGTGAATCCAATCAAAAAAGATGTGATCTTAATGAGTGAAACAAGAGAGGAGAAAAGGCACAAGGCCAAGAAGAAGAGAACAACAAAACCTAGCCTCCCCCTTTGCGCCAGTCGGTCCATATATGTCTCGTACGGATCCCCCGTCGTCCCGCATCCGTACTAGTTATGAGCCAAGAATAGCTCATAACAGCCAGGCATTGGAATCTTACCTGGAATGTCACTGATAGTAATCTTCCACAGTCAATTCGAAGCAAAAAAAATTATCTGGGAGTGATCGCTGGGGTAGCAAGCGCTGTGGCGGGGGTGGAGAAGCAACCAGGAAGTGGAGAAGATCTAATGGAAAAGCAAGCGCTCATCGAAGGAATGAAGCTCGATGAGATACTTCCGCACCAGTTTAGCTATGACGACTTGAAGATGGCAACTAGAAATCCCGAGCTCATGCTTGGAGCTTGAGGATTTGGATCCGTCTTCAAAGGAGAGCTTGCGGACGTTGCTGTGAAGAAGATGGACGTAGAGATCCAAGGCTCGTCGAAAGGACACTCGCAGTTCAAGGCCGAGGTGATGCACTTCAACCTGGTAAAGCTCCGGGGCTTTTGCATCCAGGGACCAGCCGCATTGCTTGTCTACGAGTTCATGCTCAATGGATCACTGGACAAGTTGAGGCTTGACATCCAAGTGATCCCGGCAATCCTTCGTGGAGGTATGTGAGTCCTCGAGCAACATCTATCGCAGCAGATTTGCTGATCCGCCACCTTTGTTATCATCGTTCTCGGTGAAGATCCACCTGGACGAGAACTACTTTGGCCTGAGCAAGCTCAAGCCAGGTGGTGACTGTCATGCGAGGAACTCCCGGATACATGGCACCCGAGTGGCTCCACACCAAAGTCACGGACAAGACCGACGCCTACAGCTTTGGAATCGTGCTGCTCGATCCAAGCGCACCGTCCAGTTCCATCCTCAATCATCCTCTTCCTCCTCATCCCCCTCACCCGCGGTTCCTGGGCGAAACCGCGCTGAGCATGTTTCACAGTGGTAACGTCGTCGAGCTCATTGACGATCTCGCCAGCATAGCAGTGGCTTGGAGCTCAAGGACGCCGAGAGGTACGTGAAAATCGGACTGTGGTGCATCCGAGCCGAGGCTGCAATCCGCCCCTCTATGAGAAACGATATGCTCGGAAGTAGCGTCGACGTTCTAGACTTGCACCTTCAAGTGAGTAGCTCCAGAAGCTTCAGCTTGCGACTACCTGGATCCTACTTCAGCTCCACTAGTCTGTGATGTTACCCTCTAGATACCGCCATGATCATCAAGACCGAGATAGAGTCTCGCAAGTGTTGACGTTATATTGGCAGAGGAGAGTCACTCCCTTCTTCCGATCTTCGAAGTATTTCTCTCTACTTCTAGCCAGCGGGAACGAGGAAGCATACCCGGAGACGATATATATTTCAAAGAATCAAGGGTCTTCGTCCGCACCACCATCAGCCTCACAAAATCTGAAGTTGGGCTCTACGTTCATTGCCCACGCGAATTTGGCCAGCAATGACTTATTAAAAACCTGTGATCCAAATCTCCTGCCTCAGTAAGAGAAATAAAAGAAATGAAAGTAAGAAGTGCCTGGTTACCTTCTCAATGGGAATTTCGTGACGCTTGCACCAAGCGACCGTTATTCGAGGATCCATGTAGTTGATCTTTGACGTTCCCAGCGCCACGGTTTTGAGATCTTCTTTAACGGACAGATCCAAGGTCATCTTCGCTATCCTTGCATCAGTTTGAGCCAACTTCTTTTCCAACCTGGATTTTACATGAATAGTCAGTATCATAAAAGTAGAAACATAAAAATCATCTACTTACTGTTCTGCGGTTGGAGGCCTTTTAGCCGTGCTGTGGACTGGGGGTTTGCCCTTTTTAACTTTCCCCAAGTCTGTTGCAAGTTCCTCACGCAATGTCTGCCAATAGCAAAGCGTCAGCCTCAAACAAACCATAAAGAAAAACAGACCTTTAACTCTGCAATCTTTGCCTCCAATCTTTCCATCTGAGCACTATGGCCCTTGGATACTGTCCGTTGATGATTACATAGAATCGCGACCTGTCAACAAGATTCATAAGTGCTAACCAAACAGAATGTTCTCTTACCTCCTTATTTGCTCGGGAGTATTCTGCAGTTTTCTCGTTAAGAGTCGCACCAAGCGTCTCCTTCAACTGTAACAAGTAATGCGTCGGATCATTTTGGCCTTGACAAAGCAAAAGTCGCAAACCTGGGTCTCCAAAGTATATGACGCATTATACGTTCGAAACACCTTCGCTGTTAGACCTTGCATGTACTTCTTCAGATGGGCATTAAGCTTAGAAGTATCTAACCTATCAAAGAGGTCAACCCCTTCCTTTTTCCCTGTGTAACAAACAGCTCATCTCAACGAGGACAACACAAGTCACAACATACCTTTCTTGAAATCGTGTATAGCGTCGTATACCTCTTCGTTTACAACCACAGAGTTTTGGTACCTGATGGAGTCTTTACCCAGAAAATCGAACTGTAAATATGCGAACCATAGATCACAAAACAACAGTCTCAAGTCCTCAACAAAGCACCTCAAGCGAGTTCGGAGGGGAAAGAGAGACGTGCTCCACTTTCAACGAGCAGCAGCCAACCGTATCAGCTTCATCGTCATCCTGAAATCAAAATGTCAATTCACAGGCACGAAAACGACACACTTTCCACCTTTTCGTTTCCTGCTCTCAGAGCAAGCCTATCAATAAGATACGTGGCCACCGCAATCTGCCGTGCTTCCACATCCTTCTCTTTAAAATCCTTTGTGTAAGATTCCCGTATGCTATCAATCTGACAAGAAATGAAGATTAGAAAAGAAACGAAAACGCCTGCTTACTTTTGACGTAAGCTTCCTAGCCTTATCGTATTTCTCCTCATCGCTCTTGCCCTTCAAACTACTACTTTGATGCAAAAACACGTACTTAAACTCCTTCACATTGATCGGGTCGTTCCAAAACGCAAGCCAGGTAACGGTGTTATCGTGTCTGACTTCCTTCCACCTGCGGTAAGCAAAGTTAAGTTAGCCTAACAAGATAAGAATCATGTAATGAACACTTACTTGTGACCAGGAAGTGGACACTCTGGAACTGGTGCTTCTTTTCCAATGTTGAGTACAATGTCTTCAGGAAAAATGCGCCGTTTCAGCTTTCCCATCTAAACGACCATGGTGTGAAGCTTACAAACAAACTGAAGCTTAAGTACCTTGGGATGCTCGCCGCGGCCCCGGAAAAGGCCAGGAGGCTCCACTCTAAAATTTCCAACCTGTTGGCACGAGTTACAGTAAGAAAACTGCCATGAGGTGGAAAGAAAAGAAGTAACCCCGCCTTCTCTTTGACACCATCGATCAGAACCCATGCATAACGTTCTTCTGCTTTCGCCTTCTCCTCTTTCAGTTGCTTTTTCTCCTGCAGAAAGAAGTGAGACAAACACATAATCCACGGACGAACACACCTCTGCACTCATTTGCTTCTTCTTCTCTTTCTCCGCGGCATGCCAGTCGAAAATAGGAGTGAAGTCGCACAGCTCAAGCTTCTGGATGACGTGCTTTGGACCAAGAACTTTCTTCCAGTCCTCCCAAAAGTTCTTGACAAAGACGGGCTTGGTTGCGTAGTCAGTGTCTTTCATCACGGCAAACATCGTCGCGATCTGCAAGACCAGCTACAATTAAACGAAGAAAGCGAAACAAAGAGCTAAAAACCTCCTCTTCTTCTGGTGTAAGATCGATTGGCCGACCATTGTAGAGCATCTTCACTCCATGCGGGCTATACGGCGGGGGAAAGAGCACGCCATTGTGCTCCAGCGTCGTCCATTTTGGCTCAGCAACACTCCCCTTTCTGGGTTTCTTGCTCCTAGCCTTCCCCTTCGTCACTCCCTTCTTCCCTGGCTTCGCACTATCGCCCCCAAAACGCTTCCCAATGGGAACGTCCTCGTCCTCGTCTTCGTCATCCTCCTCCTCACTCTCCTCATCGCTGGAGCTCACCTCGACTTTGGATTTCTTGGAAATGCCATTGGCGGACGCTGGCGCGGGCCTCTTCCTCCCGCTGGCGTTGGAATCGGCGGAAGCCGGCGCCGCCGCCACCGATCCATCCTTGGAGGAGCTGGCGTGCTGCTCCGCTCCGGGATTGCGCGCTCTCGCGGAAAAGATGCGCCGGGCGAGGGGGACGTCGTCCTCGTCGTCCGAATCCTTGGCTGGATTGGCCTTCTTGAAGCGCGCCGCGAGCGGCACGTCGTCCTCGGAGGAGGAATCCATAGCGAGAGCCCTAACCCTATTCCGAGGGAAAATTTGCTTCCAAGGATGAAATTATATGCTCCCTCCTCACAGACTCCACACACATTGACAAACTGCCTATAGCGGTAAAACTACGAGGAAACTTACAGTGACGAGCGAATTTTTACTGGAGATTTCTACACAGCGTCGGGCCTTTCACCTTCCACCACCGGAGGAGGAGGAGCTTTTTGTGCGTGAGGAGGAGAAATTCCAAGAGGGCGATTGTGACCCCAGCTCGTTTTAGCTCCTTGACCAGCAAATCCTTGGAGAAAAAATCCTCACAAAACCTTCAAGGCAAAAAAAGAATTTTTGGTGTCATACCGTAGTACTTGTAGAACATGTATTTCCTCGTCTCTGGAACTCGATTCTGGATGGATCTCCGCCTCACTCTCCGCTGCTCGGGAACTAGATCATTCACATCGCATCGGTGAGCAGCAAACTTCTTCTTTTTCCTGGAGGATAGAACAAGAAAAGAGCAAGCTTTAGATCATGGAAGAGGCAGACGAAAATGGAAGAGAACCTCTTAAGTCGGAGAGCGTTGTCACCACTTTTCGTCCGGCTTCTCTTCTCGGTGTCGAGCGTCCTCGTCTCGCTACCGTAGAGCAAATGCCCGACTGTGACGTGCTCCGACGTCCGGCTCTCGGACACCTTGTACTGAGTCGCGTCTTCGATGACATAAATGTTGCTAGAGCCCTCGACGAGCTTGGCTTCCGGCAGCCTGGCTGAGTGATCAAGCATTCTGTATGAGCCTCCCGCCGGCATCTTGTAAGTGTAAATTCCACCTCCAGGGAGTTTGCTGGGACTGCTGTTTGCGTTTCGGGTGTGAGTCGAAGAGCTAGCGGCGGGGTGTTGTTGATCGGATACTTCATTCCTAGTAGCATTTGTCGTCGTCGTGGGAGTAGTAGTTGTCGCAGGAGTGATGGTAGCAGTAGTAGTAGTAGTAGTGGTCATGGTAGCAGCACTGGGAAAATCTGGATCCGACCTGTGAGGAGGAGAAACTCCACCTTGGACGATGCCATATCGCAATGCATGAGCTCCCGGTATCCTGTCCGAGTAAGTCTGAGTGCCTTCGTCCTGGTAAGAGACTCCATGCTCGAGTTTGTAAGGCAAACCGTTGTCGAAAGAAACTTCTTTCGTGGACGGAGTGCCGGGAACACGATCCAAACCCCTCCCAGAGCTGCTGGTGACGGCATCACTGGATGTGGTTCTCGGCTGCTGCAGTCCAACCTGTGAGCTAGTGTCCAGAGTTCTTGAGCTTGTGTCAAAAGCTCTCGACAAAGATGTTGTCGTCGTCGTGGTTCTACTCGATGAGGAAAACAAAGCCTGGTGTCGATGCTGGAGATCGCTACTTGCTGGCATCCCTGCGGTGGACGAAGAAGTCGTCGTCGACGTCCGAGGTTCGGTTGTGACACCTGAAAGGACGTTGCTGCCGTCCATGGTTTTCGTCGGGGACGAGTACCGCGACTGCAAAGTCGAAAGTTCCGACGCTCTCGCCGTGCGTCTGTTCAAAGACTCAAACACCGCTGTCCGAGTCGACTGATCGCTGCTGCTGCCGCTCGAGAACCGCGTCGGGAGATCGTATCTCGAACCAGCAGCTCTCGTCTCTTGCGGCGTCAAAAACCGGGACACTTCCGAGACGACTTCCGAGCCGCTCGTTGCCATGACCCTCGCAAACGTAGGATGATCCAGCTGAACTTGCCGGTGAGGTGGTGGCGGCTGACGATACACAGAACTGTCCACAACGTTTTCGTTCAATCGTTGCCCTGCTGCTTTGCGATACTTGAAGGGACTCCCCTCGGAGATTCTGTAAGGACTTCCCTGGCTCGGCCTCTCCGGATTTGAGTCCGGAGACCTGTATCTTATGAGAACCGGAGACCTGTTCTTGCCATTCTCTCGCTCCGGGTTTCGAGAAGTCTCGGCCCCTCTATGATGAGATCCTTCCGGAGATTTCTTTCGGCCCTGCTCTGGCTTTGGAGTCTTGGCCCGTATCCGAGCGCTTGCATGGTCGGAGCTCTCGTAGCCCGACATGGAGGACGACTCGGACATGATGTGGTTTGGATTCACCGTGCTCTCTCTTCGGAAAATAGCCGGAGGAGACGAGTCCCACACTGGCAGAAGAAGAAGAGACGAAGAACAGGATCAAACCAGGCTGAGTTCCAAGAACTTTAGAGAGTGGAAGGAGGATCTTCTTACCCGATGGGAACCTCAGCTGTCGCATGGAGCAGCGGTACGCTTGAGGATATCTAGAATCGCCATACTTTTTGCTCCGGATGTGGTCGAAGTAGAGGCGCTGGATGTAAGGATTGAAGCTCACGTACTCCTTGAGCAGCACGTTGCACTGCTTCATCGCGTGCGTTCTCATCTTGCCCTGGGCCGCCTTGAGCTTGTCCACCTGGGGGAAAACCGACGGAGAAGAAGCGATCGAGGAGAAGAAAACGATCCATGTTTTGCAGAGCTCAATCGCAATGCAGGCAATCCACAGCATACCTCCGACTTGAGAAACGTGTAGAAGCCTCCAATCTCCTTGGACTCGGCTCGCCATCGCACCGGCGGTGCCGGAGCTACCGCCGCCATCAAGCGAACGGCAGTTAGGGCCGAGCCGGACCAAAAACCTTAAACCCTAATTAGATTTTTTTTCGCGCGGCTCGGAGATTTTTTAAATCCACGTGAGATGAGAAGACATGAAATGAAACGTGTGACAAGAGCGAAAAATTCTCCTATTGATCTTTAGCTGGAGTAATCCTGGTTTTCCCAGGTTTGAGCTTTATGAGTCTGGGCTTCCTTCTTTTTCTGGAGCAGGGGCTGGAGGAAAGCGCATCAGAGAAGAATGACAGCAGCAGAAAAAAACTTACATGATCTACTTCCATAGGGGCCGGCATAACCCCTGCTAAAGTGATCACAGGAGAAGCTGGAGCTAGAACTGGATCTCTTGCTGGAGATGGAGCTGGAATTGGATCTCTTGCTGGAGCTGGAACTGGATCTCTTGCTGGAGCTCCAATATCTGCTGGAACTCCCGCTGTTGGAGTCCCGGATGACTCCATTGGCGCAGCAACCCAAGCGTCGCCGCGGGCTTTGACACAAAACTCCACTCGTGGGGGACGAATATGCTCTGACTGTTATTTCGAATATCTAGATTGTTCTCTAAACCTCCTGGCCATAGCAAAAACCATCGGTCTTTCTCGAAATTAAAATAGGTCTGGTCCTCGTCCCTCCCTCTTGCTCATAGAAACCAGTCGCTGGGCTACAGATGAAGCAGAAAGCCACCTGATAGGGGATCGTGGGTGGTAGACGAAGGAAATCCTGGATCGCCATCACAAGTATTGCCATCACAATCTAGAGAAGGCGGATCAGCAAGTCTGGACATCAAGCCGCTCCAGGACGAGAACTCCCGGATACGTGGCCGAGTGGCTCCACACAAGTCACGGACAAGACCGTCAGCTCCAAGCGCACTGTCGAGTTTCATCCTCCATCTTCCTCGTACGACGATCTCGCAGCGCTAACAGTGGCTTGGAGTGAGAGGTACGTGAAAATCGGACTGTGGTGCATCCAGCCTGAGGCAGCAATCCGACTCTCCATGAGAAACGTCCAGGAATTCTTGATCAATTGATCACTTCAATGTTGTCGCAAGCTGAAGGTTTGGAGATACCATCATGATGCTAGCTCCAAAACCTTCAGCTTGCAACTACCTGGAAGCTCCAGCTCTCACAGTGAGATCATGGATCATCGAGACCGAGATAGGAGTCTCACAAGTGTTGACATTATATAGGCACGGAGACGGTATATATTTCAAAGAATCAACGGTCATTGTCCGCCTCACAATATCTGACTCTATGTTCATTCCCAACGCGAATTTGGCCAGCAATGACTTAGTGAAAACCTGTGATCCAAGCCTCAGTCCTTTTCAATGGTAGCTTGCACCAAGCGACAATTAATCAAGGATCCATGTAGTTGACTTTTTACGCCAAGACACCCCAACCACAAAGTTTCTTAAATTAAAAAACTGTCTCAAGTCCTCAGGAAAGAGAGATGTGCTCCACACTCCAGCCAACTAGGAAGGCATCTTAGGAATTTTACTGGGCACTTTTAGGGTACCTTTTACCTCAACATTTAATTACTTCAATGGCACGTCTTTACTTTATTATCTGACACTTGATGTTGAATTTCTAGCAAAATGATACCTAAGAGTTCAACTTTGTCCTTTCGCTCAAATGACCCAAAGTGTAGTCATGATTGAAGGAGTTGGAAACCATGATTTCCAACACTCATAGAACCTCACAAAGTTGTTGGCACTTGACCATCTGATAATCAACTTGAGCAGAATTCCCCTTGAACAAAGGAGTTCCCAGTTTTGCATCACATGTGACATGGGAACTTATGTCATCTCAAGGGAGTTTGCTACCACACACACAGCTATCACCTCTATAAGATGTCATTTTTAGTTTTCCTTGTGTCATAATATTTCAGATGTTTACATCACACATGGTTTTGTATCCACAATCTTAGTTATGAGTTAGGTGGCTAGTATTATTGTGCTGGTAAGTTTGACTTTCAGTTATAAAATAAAAGTCTTGGTTTTGCAATGTACCACCTCTAGAAGCTGCACAATGACCTTCTCTTGCTTTGAGACACTCGGTCATGTCAAGGTACTCTTTGATTTGTAACTATAGTAGATATTACTTGCTTTGCATACTTACCTGAGCCACTTTTCTTGTCAAGATGCTCTTATATGTAAGTTTGTATTTATGTTATGTTCTTGTGAATAATTACCTTATCATATCTTTCATCTATGACTTTGCATGGTAACCTAGGTGTTACTGTTTTGTCAAAATCCATGAAAGCAAGACTGACGAGTTTAGACTTTTTAGCTGGAAAGACACCAGTATTTCGCTCAAGAATGCCATAAAATTTCTTGAGCTTCTTTTTTGGAGTTTTGGCCTTGAATGTTTGCTGGGACTTGCTTTATTTGCTTCAGTGTCTTATGATATGTTGGGATTCAATCTAGAAGAT